TTTTTTCTTTTTTTGTGTGTAGTTATGAATTGGGTTTATTTCAGAGAGGCCAACATGGGAATATTTTGAGATAGAAACCAGTGTAGTTATCTCAGTTTCTTTTTCACTGTCTACTAAATGCATACAAGTAGATAACTCAAAAGTAAATAATGTAAAGAATGGTGAAGTAGGTCCCTAAGTATTGTTTTTACAAAAAGTCCCTGGAAAGCCAGAATAAGATTTCTTTATGACCATAGTAAAAAAAAATGCATAACTGTGTCTAGATTTTTCTAAGCATGTTAACCTCTCTACAGTAACCAAGTATCTTTTAAAAAAAAAGCTTCATGTCCTGTAAGTGCTGCATGTAAGCATCAACATAGAATATGCTAAAGCATCGTAAATGATCTCTCTCCACTTTGCCCTAGGATTTGCACTGTATTATTTGACATATTCTGTATATGAATAGTGCTATATGAGTGCATGATATAAAAGCCTGCTTGTATTTAAGTACTTTTATTTGCCAGAATCTTTGAAAGTCAAAGTAACAGAAGTTCCTCAACACAAAAATCAGTTCCATTTCATTTAATTTTCTTACTATGAATATGTTGTATTTTTGCAGAACCTCTCGTCGGTCCAAGGAAGGTCGCCACGGCCATCACGCCCGCGTCGCTATGCGTCGGCTTCGCCAGGAAGGCGCTCTGACCAGCCGAGGAAAACACTAACTTTCACATGAACTGCTAAGACAGTGTTGTGAAAATGTTATCTTCTTTGTTCAGGAGTTCGCTCAAACTTCTCTCAAGACTGATCTCAATGTACTGTTCTGTATGTTGCTCCACCATTAGTCTTCAGTGAGACCAGACCTGATGCCAGCACAAGGAATTACTCGTTCAGATTGTCTTGGAAGTTGGATTTTGAAGACTTGTATTCCTAAGCCAGTTTTTGGTTTGGGTTCCTTCTCACAGAGAAGTCTTTGTTTGTAACCTTCATTCTGTAACATTTTACTCTATTGTTGAGTAAGATAATAGCAGCTTGAAGGTCTGAAATTACTGCCAGTACTTGTACTTTTGGAGGATTTACTGAACTGCTATGAACACTGCCACAAAATATTTCTTATAGTGCTCATGATTCCTGTAAATGACTATTTAGGGCTGAGGCTTAATACTTAGAACAGTGTTGTGGATTGTTGATATGACCGTGTTCGTTGCTGTAAGTTGGAAGCAATGGGATCATTTTGATATATAAATGCACTAGTTTGGTGCTCTGAATAAGTGGTGAATATTTTCAAGTACATTTATAGAATATAAACATTTAAAAATGAACAATATGTAGTTGACCATTGTATTATAAGCTTATATTGTTTACAGTACAAACCAGAGAGTGGATCAAGGTTCTATTTCTAGTCAAATGACACTCAAGACTGATTTAATACTGCTGATGATTCCTGGCAGACCAAGTTATACTGAGTTAGATGGTTTACTTCGGGAAAATCCACCGTGTCCCAGTTAAATTTGAGTATTAAAAATTGTCCTACCAGTGTAACTGTTACTTGTTATTTAAGGTCTACTTAAAGATACAAAATTCTATTGCACATTCCTAGACATGAATCATACAGTTAGCTGTAGGAGCACCCAACACGTCCATTAGGTGTGCCTTCATTTGTTTAAAACTTAGTCTTAAGATTGATGGTTAAATGTTGTAAAGTTTAAAACAGTTACCACATTTTGTTTTGTTGCACCAACACCTTTTGTTATGTACACAAACAACACAAGTCACACATGAGCAGATCTTAGGAATCAGGTTTTATATTATCATTATAAATTCTTTGAGAAAAGAGATATCATTAGATTTAGAAGAGTAGGCTGCTGTTCAAAAAAAGATATTCCATTAGCTTTAGTTGTAAAATATTTGTTATTTTTTTCCTATTTTATGATATTTACTAGTTTCTCATATTTAATTAGGTGATTTAGATATATCTATGTTCTGTAGCATTTTGTACAATGTTACTTTCTTATTGATCTACCTGTAGATCAGCAAGTGAAGTTTTAGACGCAGGTCACCAAGTGTATGCTCAGTCCAAATGTATAGCACAAAATCACGAATGTATTGGGACTTCACCTATTCTTTATTGCAAGAAAGGCAAATGACAGTCCCATATATCACCTTGGCCACACCCCCATGGTTGACGTACTGTCATAAGCATAACACTTGATATATATATACATGTATGTATTTTTTTTTTTCTTTGTAAAGAATATGTATACTATTTAAATGACATCATTCATCAACAGTTTTGGTATTGATCATCCTGACTGGAACAATATGGGATCAAGTGACTGCCTCAGAAACCTTAGCCTTTAATTTTGGGTAACTGTCATTTCTATTATCAATAAATATAGCAAACTTTGCATGTCATGTAGACATAGATAAATATAAGAAAAAGTCAAGTGAACAGGAGTTTTATTTTTACCTTTCTTTCTTCTCTCTCTCTCTCTCTCTCTCTCTCTCTCTCTCTCTCTCTCTCTCTCTCTCTCTCTCTCTCTCTTCTCTCTCTCTCTCTCTCTCTCTCTCTCTCTCTCTCTCTCTCACGTTAGTGCTTTGGACACTAGATTCTAGCTTCTTTTGTTGCCAACTTATCGCTCTCCCAGAGCGAATTTCAAGTTGATAAAGACGCAAACAGAGCCATTTACATGATGTTGGTAAAGATTCTGAATTCACTAGCGTTTTCAAGCAGTCCAAGACGTCTTGGCATCACAGGAGGATGTGCTGTGAACCACTGTTGTCCTTTGTCAAAGGATGCTCCAAGCCAGAATGCGTGACTCCATTTTATTAAAACATCCAAGAAAAAGAAGTGTGGGTACGAAAGTGGATGGGCAGAGGTAGGCTCAGGGAGCCTCGCATAATCTCTTATAGGAACTGGCATTGGAAGACCCAGCAACATACAGGCGAGTAATTCAGCTGATGTGTGAAAATTTGAAGAGCTGTAGGTAAAGATACATCCTTTTATACAAAAGAAAACTGGATAGAGCCTACTGTTAACCACAAGGGGCTTATACTTGCCTGTAAGATGAAGAAGGCATTTTCTCAGTGTAGTAGCCTATGTCTGTAGCATAGCTCAATCAAGCCTCAGGACTACCGTACATCTCGCGTGCGAATTCGCAGAACGACTTGAGCACCCCTCTTATTGAGGCATACCCATGGTCATGCCCTGACTGTTCTGTCCGTTCAATCGACGGCATTGCAAATAATACATGAATTACATGTGCCATTAGATGCCATCTAGTGCCATATACTGGTATTTCTGCATGGTATGTGTGTTCCTTTCCATCCCCGCCTTCTCTGAAGCTGACGGCGACATCAGTCCTTAGGTATTACGGACTCCTTGGATGTCTTCCCACCAGTGTGTCTGTAATTTTGTTGATGTGAGAGGCTGTATCCCTTGTGTTGCGCAATATACACAGATCGTCATCTCACAGTTTAGTAAGCAGCGGGTATACCGTTTCCATTATATATTTTAGGATATTTATTCTGAACACTTACATCTCTGTGATCGGCCCAAGCCTTCATCCTGCCGTTAATACGTGGAGGATTCTCCATATTCCAGGGAAGGGGTTGGAGCGGTATCTCCATAGGGTTGGGGTCGCATAACTCATTTTCTTTCATATTTTACCCAGTTTTTCAGGTAACTAGCATGCCTTGCTCTACTATCGGGGCCAAGTTCATGTCTGGAACCACTACCATAACCTCTTCACTAGCTCAGTGTTGGCGGTAGGCAATCCCTGTCTGTAGTGTGCACGCTTGTACCCCTGCAACAAAGGGCATTTGACATATCTCAATGCTCACAGCAATGTTCATCAAAGCCAAACGATATCTATAACCTGCAATGTACAGAGATCATAATCTATGAAGGATTATTTAGATACCTCTTAATATAAAGAGAGTGCTAGAGGCTCAATTATGTAGTGTCTATTTGCCGTCTGGAACTACATGACATTAGTCAATTGTCGTTCTTTGTCTTGAGAATTCTTGGTGAGGCTGAATGATGAACTCTTCCAGGGGTTCTCTTATGTTCGATTCCTCAGATGCCAGATATTTGGCATCATACATTTCCTTTTATTTTTGCTTTTTACAAACCATCGCCACACATAGACTGCTTCGAAATTCCCCGTGTTTACGACTCAGACTTTCAGAAGCACGGGTAGACGGAACAAAGCTATGTTGTGGGGCTTCATTCTGCCAATAGGCTTTTTCTCTTTTCTCTGGTCAAGACGAAGGAAAAGTCAATACACAAGCCCACGAAATTATGAGAATTTTTTTTAACAATAATGATGGTAATAATAGTAGTAATAACAGTAATAGTTATTGATATCATTATTATCTTTATTGTTATCGTTATCACCATATTATTATTGATATTATCATTGTTTTTGGTAATAGTAGTGTTATAGTAGTAGTAGGTAGTAGTAGTATGAGTAGTAGTAGTAGTAGTATGAGTAGTAGAAGTAGCAGCAGTAGTAGTAGTAATAGCAGTAGTGGTGGTGGTAGTGGTTCTAGTAGTAGTAGTAGTAGTAGTAGTAGTAGTAGTAGTAGTAGTAGTAGTAGTTATATTATAGTTATACTATTAGTAATATGCGGAGGAAGTCCACCTCATTATTATTGTTATCATGATTATTATTATGCACAAAAGATGTAGTGGAGTAGATGGAGTAGTCTCTCTCTCTCTCTCTCTCTCTCTCTCTCTCTCTCTCTCTCTCTCTCTCTTCTCTCTCTCTCTCTCTCTCTCTCTCTCTCTCTCTCTCTCTCTCTGTATGTTGTGTGTGTGTGTGTGTGTGTGTGTGTGTGTGTGTGTGTGTGTTGTGTGTGTGTGTGTGTGTGTGTGTGTGTGTGTGTGGTGTGTGTGTGTGTGTGTGTGTGGGTGTGGGTGTGGGTGTGGGTGTGTGTGGGTGTGTGGGTGGGTGGGTGTGCGTGTGTATATACATATATATATATATATATATACATATGTATATGTTTATGTACATATAATATTTTTCCTCTCATACTCTCGTACCTATTCCCTCTACCTTCCCTCCCATCCCTCCCTCCCTCCCTCTCCCTCCCTCCCACCTCCTCTCTCTCAGATTAAGATCCGAGAACGTATCAAATCGCAATCAGTACATTATTTAATATTTTATGTAACGAGAGGGAAAGCGCCCAGGTGTTCGCGAGAAGAGGCGAGCTGAGTCGACAAAGAAAACGGGCGAGTCAGCTCCGAAATGGCGGGAAATGTGCTGGTGGCCGCGGTGAAGATAACGGTGCTTATCGCGCTGATGTATTGTTAGGTAATGATTGGTAACGGAAGGAAGGGGTGATAAAGATGCAGTCTGTGGTTTCTTTTTTTGTCTCTGTCTGTCTGTCTGTCTGTCTCTCTCTCTCTCTCTCTCTCTCTCTCTCTCTCTCTCTCTTCTCTCTCTCTCTTCTCTCTCTCTCTCTCTCTCTCTCTCTCTCTCTCTCTCTCTCTCTCTCTCTCTCTCTCTCTCTCTCTCTCTCTCTCTCTGTCCTCTCTCTCTCTCTCTCTCTCTCTCTCTCTCTCTCTCTCTCTCTTCTCTCTCTCTCTCTCTCTCTCTCTTCTCTCTCTCTCTGTCTGTCTCTCTCTCTCTCTGTACACACAATACATAAGCGTGTATGTATCTATGTGAGTATATATATATATATATATATATATATATATATATATATATATATATATATATACATATATATATATATATATATATATATTATATATATATATAATTTTATAGTATTAGTATTTAGATTCCACACAATTCGAATAATGAAGAATTCTGAATCGATAATTTGTAAAAAAGCTAAAATAACAAAAAAAAATTTAGTGTCCATAGGATAGCCCCATTTACTAACGATTTCAATTTATGTACAGAGGAGGATAATAAAATTCTTTGTGCGTTCATAACAATGAATTGCTAAATATACAACCTTCACAAGATCATTATTGCTGTATTATAATGTATTTTTGCATCGTGGAGTAACACGGATCAGCGTCAAAATGTTATTTTCAAATACTGAAGCTCACAATGATTGCCGTAACAGCCCAATTTTGTCCATTTTTCAAACCATGGAAGAGAAAGTAACATCTTTATTTCTTTTTCTTTTAGTTATTCCATTCCTGATATAGTTACACTTGCTTATCAACTTGCTTTTGCACAAACAGAAATGTAACAAATTTGATAGTTTGAACTGTAATTTCCAGTTTGTTCAAGACCATCTCTCTGTTGCCCTGATTTCTGCCAATACCACTGAGTCCTATCTTATGATGTTCATCTACCAGCGGCTAACCTTATTTAACCCCTCAGTTTTTCGTAAACTTTCTTTCTTATCAGTCTATAATGCGCCTTTAAGTACTATTTGTGTATAGCCTACTATATAGCTCTACTGAGTATTAGACTTTAATAGCCACTGTTTATTCTGTTGCGAAATAGGAAGGAACACACCAGGAGGTACATATACCTGTTCGTCTACTCTTTGCATGCCACTTCTTCTCTACTAGTAAAACAGATCATCCTTCTCATTCAATCCNTATATAATATATATATTATAATATACATATCTATATATAATATAATATATATATTATATATATATATAATATATATAATTTTTATAGGTTATTTGTATTTAGATTCCACACTGAATTCGAATAATGAAGAATTCTGAATCGATAATTTGTAAAAAAGCTAAAATAAAAAAAAAAATTGTGTCCATAGGATAGCCCATTACTAACGATTTCAATTTATGTACAGAAGAGGATAATAAAATTCTTTGTGCGTTCATAACAATGAATTGCTAAATATACAACCTTCACAAGATCATTATTGCTGTATTATAATGTATTTTTGCATCGTGGAGTAACACGGATCAGCGTTCAAAATGTTATTTTCAGACACTGAAGCTCACAATGATTGCCGTAACAGCCCAATTTTGTCCATTTTTCAAACCATGGAAGAGAAAGTAACATCTTTATTTTTTTTTCTTTTAGTTATTCCATTCCTGATATAGTTACACTTGCTTATCAACTTGCTTTCGCACAAACAGAAATGTAAGTAATTTGATAGTTGCGAACTGTAATTTCCAGTTGTTTCAAGACCATTTCTGTTGCACTAACTGGATACCATTGAGTCTTCATCTATGACTGGTCTCTACAGAGTCTAACTTTTACCTCCAGTTTTCGAAATCATCAGAAGGCCGTGTAAAGTACAATTTGTGCTACATAATAGGGTGATAGAAATAAAGCCCATGTTATCTGTGGAATAGGAAGGAACACACAGGAGAAACATCTACCGGTACAATGTGCACAGTAACAGATAATCTTTATTCAACAATTAAAGCTTTACCACTAAGAGCAACGTGATACAATTCAATCTATGTCACGGATATGACACAATCTGGCATCCATCATAGTCACCTTACCAACGGTGGTCCCACAAGCCAACTAAGAGAGCAAAGGCATGTCCCACACTCAGTCTCATATACCATTTCATTTGCAATACCTTTACCGGGGGTGTGGAACAATTTCTCGTGTAAGTGTTCAGCAGTAATTTGACCAACAGATACTTCGTAGCCACTAACAGGTTGATTGCCTTGTTGATCACACTCTATGCATCAAAACAGACACAGGCACTAACTCAAACTTGTACTAATACAATTATGACTTCTTTTTACAACTAGCCTTTATAGTGTATTGCCATTTTTTTCCATTGCATACCAAGCAGGCTGGAATCTATTGTTATCACTAGAAAATGCACTTGAAAGTGAAGCAAATTATGAAAGTAACTAGCAAGTCACACATCGCCATCGTAGGCTTACAAATATAATATGTTTAGCGCTTATACATCTGTTGCTGCCATGTGGTGACGATGCAGGAAAAGGGACCCTGCTTAGTGGATTTAGGCTGGCCCGTTTCTTTATGAAATATACTTAGAAGTCTGAATTGCAGTGTGTGTGTGTGTGTGTGTGTTGAGAGTGATGAGTGAGTGAGAGTGTGTGAGAGATTTGTGTGTGTGTGTTTGAGAGAGTGATAGAGTGAGTGAGTGTGTGTGTGAGAGAGAGAGTGAGTGAGTGTGTGTGTGTGTTTTGCAGGTACTAAATAACAAAAAAGTTGAATGTCTGAAGGTTAATCACAATAAGAAATTATGTAAAAGAATGACTCTAACCTAATGATAGACAAGCTGACTAGTATCTCTATCTAGACTAGACTACACAACGAGGTCCTCACTAATCTAGGCGCCACCAACCATCTAGAGGTCAGCGTTTGGAATATCTAGAACAATACACCAAGATCAGCATAGCAAACTGACCTAAGATAGTTTCTCTTCTTTCGTGGTTCATATTCACATTCTTGTTTCCATCTGGTTACTACAGTTTTATTACATGTTACGTTTTACACCTTTGTCATTGGTTAGTTTCGTATTCATCTCTCAGCTCCTTGGCCACGCGCGATGGATATTTAATCTTTCGCGTGTCAGTTATCAGTATCGATCATGAGGTGGCCTGCCTCAGAATCGCTGTCGGAATCGCTCGAGAGCAGGTCGTGGAACCTCCAAGATGGCCTGTCAGAATCGCCGTCTCCAGACAAGTGGGGTTTCTGGTCCCTCGCCCTCCCATGGAGCTGCTGTCCTCTTCTTGCAGACTTGCAGACTGTCGATGCGGTCGTATCGGAGTGCGGCCAGCTGCGTCGGTGCGCTTTGGGGTTTTGCAGCTGGGTTGCTTAAGAGTTTACCTGCGTAGGATCTGGCGTTTTCTTCTGCTTGGACTGCCGAGATGCTGGGAGTCTCCTTCGGACACTTCTTAGGTAGGATGAAGAGGCCTGGTTTCGTGTCGTGGAGTCTTGTGCGCTCTTCCTCGCGTGTCTGCGGAGGCGTCGAGGTGTCGGAACTGGTCGTGGAATCTCGGCAGCAACGGCAGGCTTCCAGAGGCTTTGGCGGTTTCGTTTTTGACCATCTTTGTTTATCCTTCCGGGATTTCTTCTGAGATGTGTCTTCGAGGAGTCTCACCTTCGCGTCGCTTGCTTTATGTTTGCTTGAGTGTTTGTGGTCTCGTCTTGCGCCCGAACTGCGTTTGGATTTTTGCCTACTGTGTCTGGCGGAGTCGCGAGGGTCTTTCTTGTTGGTGCTGCCGGCTTCCTGCTGTGTGCTACCCGTGCGGACGTCAGATGCTGCGGAACCGGGGCCAGGTTTGTCTGTACCGCTTTTAGTTGAAGACAGAGACTGATATTCATTTTTCTTCGAAGTGTGTTTCTGTCTTTTCCTCTCATTCCCTTCGCTGCCGCCTTTTAACCGCTTCCTTTGAGATCCCTGGTCCTTTGAGCGCTTGTTCTTAGTTCTCGATCCAAAGCCGCCATCCATAAGGCATTCGTTCAGGCGCTGAAAGTCCTTCGAGAGATCAAGAGCGCCGTCGGAAGCGGGCCACCGCGGGACGCCTTCACCGGCAAGGTTCTCCATGCTGGAAAACGCCTTGCCCTCCAGCAGGCTGAAAACCCTCTCGTAGGAGCTGATTAAAGCCTTGTCGTCGAGGGCGTCCTGGCGCTTCGTCGCCGAGGACACGTCGACGGGCGCCTCGGGCTGCGACTTCACTTCGGAGTCTCCTTCGCCCCTCGGGAGGCCCTTGTAGATCATCTTCCTGACGAGCCGCAGCGACTCCTCGAGGTCGGCCTCCAGCTTCCTCTTGATCTCGAGCGCCCCGAGCGCGTGGGCGTGGTCGGGCAGGACCGGCTGCGGGAGGAGGCCGGCGTAGAGCGGCGACGGGTAGGGCAGAGGCGACGGCGGGAACACCGACGACGACAGGAGCTTCAGCAGCGTCGACGCCGGATTCGGGAAGAGCGGCGACGACGGCGGCGCGAGGAACGCCGACGACGACGAGGACGAGGTGTACGAACTGGAGCTGACGGAGGGCGACGACGGCGACGACGACGACGAGGGCGACGGGGAAGACACGCGCGACGTCGAGGCTTCACCCGACTTGGGCGCCGAGTCGGGCAGGCCTCCGCCGACCCTCTCGGGCATCCGGGCGGGAGGGTCCTTCCTGGGGGCGTCCCTGGGGGCGGGGTGTCGAGGGGGGGAGCAGGGGGGTTGGCTGCCAAGTCCTGACCAGAGTCTGAGGAGAAAAACCCATGCCACTGATATCCAAAGCGAATTAAAAAGTAAACTAAAATAAAACAAAGCTGACGAACCATTTTGGGAAGATAAGCAATATGAAACACGATAACAGTATCATAGCCTTATCTCATTCAATCATCATGTGATGACTGAGAATTAATCTACATATGCCATGTCGCCTTTTCCGACAGAGAGAGCGGGTAAAGTGAGTCTTATTCATCTGTTTTAACAACAACAACAAAAAACTGTTTCGGCTGAAAATGACCGAAAAGTATCCTTGTACATCATCCTTATCTTTTTTGGCTGCCTTTAATTATCCAGGTCCTTGTAAGCCTATTTTATTAGATATCATTATCGTTATTACTGTTACTCTTATCGTTATTATCAGTATTCTTTCATTATTATTATTATTATCAATAACTTTTTTATCATTACTATTATTAGTAATAGGAGCAGTATCATTACTATTATTCTACTATTACTATTATTACCAATATTATAATTATTATTGTTATTAATATTATCATAATTATCATCATTACTACTATTATGATCATTACTTTTACTATTATTATCATTATTATTATTAGCATCATCAATATATCATTATTATTATCATATTAATTATACTATTATTATCATATATTATTATTCATCATTATTATTATTATTAATTCTATCATCATATCCCGTCACTTACTGTTCTTGTCGTGGGCGTAGGGAAGAGGCCTCATGGGCGCCGAGAGAGTGGTGGCGCCCGCAGTCCCCAGATGGCTCTGCGATCGCCACTCGAGGTTGACCGAGGGCAGCGGGAGGTCGAGGGGCAGGAAGGGCGTGCTGGGGGCGGCAGCGTCCACGCCCGCGCCCCCTGCAGGAGTGGTTCCCTGCTCGTGTGGGGACGCCCGGCCTTCCTCCTTGACCCACACTTCCTCCAGAGGGCGCAGGGTGTCCATCGTGAGGAGGCTGTGAAGACTGTTGGAAGAGGAGGAAGAGGAAGAGGAAGAAGAGGAGGAGGAGGAAGAAGAGGAAGGGGAGGTGCTCGTTGAAGTCGAGGGCGTCCACGCGGGCGCAGACTTGACCTTGGGCGAGGCGTGGGCGGCGCGGGGGGCGGGGGCATGATCGGGTCGGCGGGGAACAGGTGGGCTGGAGCATGTAGGGGGAGGGGTGGTGGGGGGGCGCCAGGGTGGGGGCAAGTCGGTGAGGGGGGTGGGTTGGGGGGCGTGGCGGGGGCGGGCTGCGTGGGCGGGGGAGGCCGATGTCGTCGCGGAGGAGGGGCGGGCGGGCGAGGGCCTGCGAGGCGGTGTAGTGACACTTCTGGCACGTTATCTTCACCTGTGGGGCGGGAGGGGGTTAGGGGGCGCGGGAGACGAGGCGGGGGCGGAGTTTAAGAATTATAGTCAAACTGTGACTTATTATTCTGGTCAACCACAGTCTACGCTTGTTGGAAATAGTCCAGATAGGTACGAACTATTCTTGATAACGGTACTAATGTTTAATGCTGAGTTAGATTAAAAAGGGCATGTCTACTCACTATAAGACAACAGTTTATCAGCAGAAACCAGAGCCACAAATTATCTTAAAGCTTAGGTCTAATCTCCCTGGCTCAAAGGACACCAGCAGCAGCCTTCCTCACCTGCGTGACGGCCGCCAGGTGCGCCGAGATGGTCCCCGTGACGTAGAGGCAGCAGGCCGCCTGGCACGAGAGGCACCGCGTCGACTGCCTCAGGAAGACCGCGAGGCCGTGGATGTCGATGAGCTGGTGCCGCCCGCCCGCCCGCATCACGCCCGCGCTCGCCTTCGGGGCGGCGGGCTTGCTGGGCCTCTCGGGCTCCGCGGCGTCCTTCCCGGCGCTCAGCTTCTCCCGCAGGAGCGGCTTGGCGGCCGCCTTCTCGGGGGGCTCGCACGCCTCTGCGGGCGGCAGGGCGGCGGGCGCGGGCGCGATGGGCGGAGGGCACTTGACGGGCACCTTCACGAAGGTGCCGGAGGAGCCGTCGTTGAGCGTGACGTCGAAGCAGCCCTCCCCGAGGCGGCTCTTCATGATCCTGAGGGGCGCGCCGCCCAGGAGGGCGTGCGAGTCGGGCCCCTGCGCGCCCTTGCAGCACCGCTCGTCCATGAGGCGGCCAGCGTGGGCGCCGTAGAAGCCGGCACCGCCCGCGCTGCAGCCGCTGCCGCCGTCGCAGCCCTGGGCGGCGTCCATGGGCAGGTCGCTGGCGACGGCGCAGCTCAGAGGCGCGCACGCGGGGAGCTCGAAGCCGGCGCCATTGCGGTGCAGCATCGGCGGCGTCTGCGGCGGCGGGGCTGCCAGGAGGGTCGGCACCATTAAATATCATCATTATTATTATTGTTATCATTTTACCATTATCATAATCACTCTTATTATTATTACTATTATAATTATGATCGTTATTATTATAATCATCATTTTATTTATATTATTGTTATGGTTATGATTATGATTGATGATGATTATTATTATTATCATTATCATCCTTATTATAAATATCATTATTATAGTTTTCTTTATTTTCGTCATTGCTATTATTATTATTATGGTTGTTGTTATTGTTTATTATTTTTTATTACTATTATTATTATCATCATTACTATTACTATTGTCATTGTCATTATTATTATAATCTCCATTAATATTGTCATTATTGTTGTGATTTTCATTATTATTGTTATTAGCACCATTATTATTACTAATGCTAATATTATCATTATCATCATTACCATAATTATCATTATCATCATTACCATAATTATCATTATCATCATTACCATAATCATCATAATTATCATTATCATCATTACCATAATTATCATTATTATCATTACCATAATCATCATTATTACCATAATTATCATCAGACACAAATATTTATTTTTAAAGATTATGTGCGGTTGTTTCCCACATGCGCGGTATACAAACACTCGAAACGCAGATTGTAGTAAGAACTATGAACGTGGGAATGTCGACACCTGCCTGTCTGTTTTTTTTTCCTCGTTATCATTCCAGTTAGTTATATTGTCTGTCTGTGTGTATCTGTCTGTCTGTCTCTGTCTCTCTCTGTCTCTGTCTCTCTCTCTCTCTCTTTCCCTCTCTCTCCTCTCTCTCTCTCTCTCTCCTCTCTCTCTTCTCTCTTCTCTCTATATATATATATATATATATATATATATATATATATATATATATATATATATCTTTCCTTCTTAATCTATCTGTCTCTTGTTTGTCATTCAGTCTGTATGTCTGTATGTCTATTTGAAAATATATTCCTCTCCTTCAATCTCTCTCTCTCTCTCCTCTCTCTCTTCTCTCTCTCTCTCTCTCTCTCTCTCTCTCTCTCTCTCTCTCTCTCTCTCTCTCTCTCTCTCTTTCTCTCCTCTCTCTCTTCTCTCTCTCCACAAAAATAAGGATAATAATAAAAGGATAATAATATTAACAATGCTGATGATGTTAATAATAATGATAATAATGATAATGATAATTGGAATGATAATAAAGATAATGATAATAATAATGAAGATAATGACAATAATGAAAACAACAGTAGTAACAAAAATAGCAATGATAACAATAATAGAATGGTAATAAATAATAATAAATAATGATGAATAGTAACAATTAATAAACATTATAATAATAATGACGACAATAACAGCAACAATAATAATAACAATAACAAAGTAATAATAACAACAACAATAATAATGATTCGAAATTCTGTTACCAACTTGTGCGCCATAAATCCGAGCAAGTGATTAGCATTTAGCAAAGGTCATGAAATTCTTAAAAAAAAAAAAAAAAAAAAAAAAAAAAAAAACATATAGAATTAGGAGGAAATATTTGGCGCTTTATAGTATTTAATTACCACTTGCATGACAGGTTTTTTGGCATCGATATATCTCCATTAACTTTACCCGGAAATGCAAGAAATATATATACATTTCCATTAATAGATATGAGCACATGACCACATATGGAGAGAGAGATTACATTCACATGCATACATATATTGACATATAAAAAGACGTATAGATAGAAATATGGATTATATTCACACACATGTATATATATACTGACACATCAAAAAATGGTCGGAAAGATTGTAAAAAAAAAAAAAAAAAAAAAAAAAAAAAAAAAATCTTATAAAAACATTAAAAAAAAAATAATAGAACTCTCCTATTTATCGGTCAGTCTATTTCTACACACAAGAAGGAAATAGAAAAGAAAATTTCTTCTAAATGTCACTTTAACTAGGAGAGCTGCACCTGTATTTTTTTTTTTTTTTTTTTTTTTTTTTAATAAAGACTTTTCTTCAATATCACAAACTCATATTTTTGTCATAATCGTCCATTTTCACTATCTCCAATACTAACATATCTCCTTCTCAAACACTTTCACAGATTGCAACTTTTCGCAACCTTATGCAATTAGTGCTAATTAGAGGCATTTTTTAACGCGACGAAATAATTTTTGTTTGGCGTCAGACTTCCCGTGTCCCGAGGTCTGAGGATCTCGAGTCTTAGCTGATGGACGAGGTCGACATGCACATTTGGGCAGAGCCTTGGGACCCGTATGACACTAGTCACGTGACGTGTATGACATTAGTCATATGACACTAGTCACGTGACACGTATGACACTAGTCACATGACACTAGTCACGTGACGTGTATGATATTAGTCACATGACACGTATGACACTAGTCACGTGACGTGTATGAAACTAGTCACGTGACGCGTATGACATTAGCCACGTGACGTGTATGACAATAGTCACGTGACGTGTATGACAATAGTCACGTGACGTGTATGACATTAGTCACATGACACGTATGACACTAGTCACGTGACGTGTATGACATTAGTCACATACAAGTATGAATCTACACGTGACGCGTTATGACACTGAATCTTATAGCGTTAGAAGTATAATACATTTATATAGAAAAAAGATAGTCTGTTCCATCTTTTTATTTTATACTTTTATTCGTGACCCCGGCAGTGGTCTAAGGAGCCCTGTCTGGGAGCTATTGCACGAAGGAGCCAAGTTGCCTGCCACGGACAAGAATCTGGGTCGCCTCGAAAATGTCGCGAATAAACAAACAGGTTGAAACGTTTCGAGAGTTCGGTTCGCCCAACTGGTCGAAGCCTCAGCTGAAAATGTTATCACGTAAGCATGCAGTGTTTCTTGTATTGTATGAGTGTACACGCACGCATGAACGGACGCGCACAGGAACACGCACACGCACACACACACGCACACGCACACACACACGCACACGCACACACATACACACACACACACACACACACACACACACACACACACACACACACACACACACACAACACACGCACGCACGCACGCACGCAACACACACACACCACACACACACACACACACACACACACCACACACACACACACACCACACATACACAACACATGTATTATGTATGTATACATATACATACATATATATATATATATATATATATATATATATATATACACCTCATATACATTTTGTCGAATCCCTTTCAGCTATAATTTTCCTTGACTAAGCAAGAGCCCCTCGTTCGGCGCACTAACCGACCGAGCTCGCTGACTCAGCTAACATCTTGACATCTGTGATACTAACGACCACGCATAAATTGCAGTTTCAGCCGCCCGCTAGCAACAGGTATGATATTGCACCGAAACCTCCCTAAAAACCTAGAGACAGGCTGTTTTGTGTTTGGAGAGGAGAGAGAGAGAGAAAGAAAAAATATGAAGCAAAGAGCGTTTTTGTGTTTGGAAAGGAGAGAGAGAGAAGGAAAAATATTGGCAAGAGCGTTTTTGTGTTTGGAAAGGAGAGAGAGAGAGAAAGGAAAAAAAATTAAGCAAAGAGCGTTTTTGTGTTTGGAAAGGAGAGAGAAAGGAAAAATTATTAAGCAAAGAGCGTTTTTGTGTTTGGAAAGGAGAGAGAGAGAAAGGAAAAATATTAAGCAAAGAGCGTTTTTGTGTTTGGAAAGGAGAGAGAGAAAGAAAGAAAAAATATTAAGCAAAGAGCGTTGTAGTTCTAAACTAGCTCGAACTGCATCGTTCAGGGTCGTTTAGGGAACGTACAACAAATGGACTATTACCCTAACATTTCGACCTCGTCTCTAACTGTTTGCTAAACTACAAAAAAGCTTTTCTGTTGTACGGAGGCTTTTCGGATACAATAGGGGATTGCGCAACGTCTGACCTGGTGTTATATCCTTATAAGCCTTCATTGGAGGGAGCTGTGCACATGAAAGGGGAAGATTAGGTCAGTAGCAACTCGAGCAGGTCTCATGGCGTCTGATTCTATTTTTAGAAAAAAAAAAGCACATGGGGTTTATTTTGATGACGTCACAAAAGTAACGGATGCTTTGTGAATATGGTCGATCAATTTGGTCTTTTCAATTTTCAAAGAGGATGGAAAATAATGTTTTTAATGTTTATATTTTCGTTGAACAAGCGTCAAAACAGAAGCCGTGAAACCTCGAGTTGCTACTGACCTAGCCTTCCCCACACATGAACACCGGTTCAAAAGAATATTCTTCACAACAGTAAGTATCAGCCATAACAGACCCTGGAGTGTTGGCTCGCGTGCTATCCCGTCGACACAAGAGACAGACAAAACAACTTACATAAATCTGTCAAAAAGTTGTGACATGCATTCATGTTGCAGATAAGTTCACCTACCAGAATAGATTAACCTACCTCGCGATAAAAAAAGGGAAATAATTGAGCTATCGTCACGTTTAGCAAAATTTAGTTCACTTAGAAATATTAACGTATAATTTGAAAGAATTATCTTGCTTGTCGATACGTATTAAAGGGAAATATTCACGATTAGGTGAAACAATCTTATCGTTACGTATAAATAAAATGATTCGGCCAATTTTGTCGCTTTATTCCTAATATGAAAGCGTAATCATAACCATTATTAACGAAACACAGTATTGCAATATGTAATAATATATAATAATACGTGTACAGCGTGGTATATGTTACTTCACCCATATTACAGAAATCCCCACCCTTCTTATCATAAATCTCTCATATCAATCTCCTTCTATAAAAATATATATATATACCCCAACCATCACCAATCTCATCACCACAAAACCCACACACACAATAACTCCTTCTAAAATCTCTTGAATTAGACAAAATGTACGTAAAATCTGCCCAAAGATGGCGTTGAAGGCGAGAGGAGGGCGACGGAGCACGTGACCTGAATGTAAAAAAGCCACATGGCGGAGAGGAAGCGAGGTCGGG